TAGAATATTTTTCATTTGGGGCAATAGCCATAAGGTTTAGTCAAATCATGTTTCTTGATATACAATGTGAAAGCTGCTTTTTGGAGCTTGCTTGATGGGAGCAGTACCGCTTTTTATAGTTAAGTGGTGCACTGCAATTCGTGGGTCAAGCCCTATGCAAGGAATATGCTGCAATCATGATTAGACATTGCATGGAATATCCTTCCCTTCAAACTTATACATCCAACTTATCGAATAATATTTAACGTCCAAAACTGTTGTTAGATTTGAACCAGATTCCTCATCGTCATTAATCTTTGACCACCCTCATTAGTTCACTTTGTCTTTTTGTTTAATTTTGCTAAAAAAATCCATTTTCAATAAATTTCGATCAAAACTGATGAAATGTGTGATTGAAAATTTGAAAAAATAAAAAAATTGTATCTTACGAAAGGCGGTGTAAAAATTAATTGTTGACTTTGATTTTATCAACTTTCTCTCGCACCTCGAGCTTTTGTCAATCGTTCCACTACTTTCATCCTCATCTCCATTCTCTACACTCGTTCTAAATACAGATTAGTGATTAACTAATTAAGGTAGGTAATGATGGAGAACATGGAAGAAAAAGTATGTTGGACCATCATAAGAAATTTATTTTTTAAAAATTGAACGCATCTTATCCCCTTTTAAGCCTTGTCATGTCAATGCAAAAGTATCCCATATACTTGAAGTGATAGAAATGGTATGAGGGCTATGCATGGATTATCTATTAGATTTTTTTTCTTTTTTTGGAATATATGTTATCGCTAAAATTTATATAGCCTGATTTGGTTAAAAATTAGATTTTTAGTAAATTTTGTTACAACTGTATGATTATTAATTTTGATTTAATTGAAATATACACTTAAATGATAACATAAATTGGATATTAGTTGGTACTTGATATGTAAAGAGTCCTAATTTGAGTAATATTACCTTCATTAAATAAAAATCAACCTGTCATTCGTTGTAATTTTATTCCAAAAACTACTCATTTTTTAATTCTGAAATAGAAACCCACAGTTGATTAATCTGAATGATGCATAGCCAGCCATTATACATAGTAAAAAAGAGTAACATAAAAAGATCAAAAAAAGAGTAACACAATGATGTAATGAATGACAAATTATAACGATTGATAATAACAATGAAGAGTAACGATTTAGTGTAATATTATGATTTGGTAACACAATGAAGTATCAAAAACTGTAACTTAAGTTATTGAATACATGCAAATAATCATGAATTGGGTTGCTCTTTATGTTACAGTTAACAATCATGCTACATGTACATAATCATTCACACAATTTTTTACACCCCCTCACATGGAGGGGGGTCCCACACACAATAAAATATTCGCACATACTATTCATGTGAGACAGGTGTACGTACACCCGGTGTACAAACAGCTTTATCCTACAGTTAATTACCAATAATTCTTACGCAACAGCAAACTGCAATAACATTGAACAACAACATGGGATTAAAAATGAGGTATAACAATAGGGTAAATATATTACCACCACAAAAAGTTTTTGTGGCACCACATTTTTAAATAGTTTTTTGATTTATAAAACTGAACATTAATAAAATGACGTAAATAACCTCTTAATTATTTCTTTCTATTTATTTTAAAGTAATCCATTTTCTTTGATTCCTATACACACCACAATTCCACTGGCATAGGTATTCCAATTCCATCTGCCTTTTCTTGTTTCCTTCTTCTACAGATAGAAAATAAATGCAGATTGTAGAGCATAATTCATATTAATTTCTCCATAAACATTCTTTTTGGTTGCTCCATATATTGTAAGTAACCTTTTCAAAAAAATATAATGTAAGTAACTACATAATTTATATATTTTTTAATAAAATTCATTATTATTCCACCACAAACATAAACCTAATTTTTTTTTTTTTTTTTTTTTACACATTTTTCAACAAATCACTATTAAAAAATCTAATATTCAAAAACAGGGGACTCAAAGAAACCCTAATATAGTGTTACAAAATTCTATTATTCAACAAATTCTATTATCGAAAAAGGGGACTCAAAGAAACCCTAATATAGTGTTACAAAATGTCCTAACCGTGTTAGTCATTTTAATACGTCGAACTAATATAGAAATGACTAAAATGTCGAACCCCGTTCAATTTTATATTGTCTAATAATTTTAAATCTAAAATAAAAGGAAGGAAAGCTGCCAAATCACAATTTTAATGGGACACAACTTTCCAATCATATATTTTGCTCTGTTTGGTAGGGATTAAAATCAAGATTTTAATTCAAGTCAAAATCAACAATTAATTGTAACCATAATTTTGTAATGTTCACAACTTTTCAATAGCANCACATTTTTTTTCATTTTTCATTTTTATTGTATTAGGGGTATAGTAGTAAATTGGTTGTAGTGTATTTATTAAAATGATATTTTAAATGTGGTGAAATTATAATGTGGTGTAGTTAGTAAATTTTGTTGTGGTAATATAATTACCCATAACAATATAGAATAACAATTTGGATTAATATTAATAAATTTGTAACATGACAAAGAAACAAGCACAAGAACGGAAGGGGCTGTTCTCTTTATATTTCAATTTTGTGTTTTGAGTTTTGAATTCATTTTGGATTTTGTGTTTTAAGTGTTCATTTTGAAATTGTTGAAAATGTGTTCTTTTTGGCATTTTGAAAACACCCAAAATGCGTTTGAAAATTTTGGCTTGATTATAACTGAAAATATTCAAAACGACAAATTTTGTAAATTTTTAATTTGTTTTCAAAAATGCTTTTTCGAAAATAGGAAAGAGAAAGCGTTTTTCACTGTTTTGAAAAATCGAAAATAAAAAACGTCTTGAAAATGGTAAAGAGAATAGACCCTAAGTTATCGAAACTCTCAATACTCATAGAATCGGATTGCTCTCTAGTCCATAATTAGATACCAGCATTAACAAGAACCATAATGCAATAAAATTAAATACTAGCATAGCTGATAAAGACATAATTTCCAAGCAAGGACAAACTGGAAAAAACCAATTAAGAAGCAATTATCCTATGTTGGTGTTAAAATGTCTTTAAAATTAGATGAAAAACTAAAAAAGAGCAGATTCCCTTAATTTCACTTTTGAGAAGATTATACATCTACAATAATCTGGGAGAATTTGTAATCTGGGAAAGGTTCCACCCTCTTACAGCCTGTATGTTTGGAAAAATTTAAAAGATCTACTTAGTACTTTAAAAAAAAAAAAGGAAAGGAAACTTGGGCCATCAAAACAATAGCCTAAAAATCCATCTGCAGGCTTTCGAAAGCATCAAAAGATAAAGGGAAAAATTAGGCTCACTACTCTAAAAAAGAAACCAATTAGAATAATGCACTTAACATAAATTTAAACCTCTAATCACCGTAATTTATACGTCCCAAAACTCACCCCATTCAATTACATACACACAGAGACACAAAGACCCGGCTTTGCTCACGATTTTTTCAAAATTTTCATCAACATCATCCCGCTTTTCTCCAAATTTCAGTGGGTTTTGAAGATTAATTATATTCCAATATCATTCATCCACGAATTCACACTTCCATCCATAAAAATTTCAAGAAATCAAAGGTAAATTGGCTCAATTTTATGGGTTTCGAAATTTTTCTTATTTATCTTAAATTCTTGCTCATGGTTGGAATTTTTTGAGTTTTGTTGGAAGTATGGACGTAGTTGATGTTGGTTTTGTGGATTGGTTGTGGAATATTTGGATTTAGTGTAGAATCAGGAGAAAATTTTACTCATTTCAATTACTGTGCATATCAAGCGTTCGATTAATTGCTCCAAATACATTTTAGTGTTAATTATGCCATAATTTTTGTATGATACATATAATATACACACATAAACACTCACATGTCATTGTATCTCTCCATTTGCATGAATTGAATGACAATTTAAGGGGAAGCATATTCAAGCCTACGTTCCTCCATATGTCCCATGCGTCCCTATTTGAGTCTCTACTTGCAGTCTCAGTTTTCTGCTTATTTAGGATTGTTATATCATATATGAGTAATTAATGGTCGTTCAGCCATGTTGACTTGTTATGAGGAAAAGCAAGGAGGTCAATTGAAGTGGGGAAGAAAGGAAATAGGAAGATCGGAGCAAGACAAGCAGAGGAAGAAGGAAATGTAGCCAACGGTTTCCCTGAAATTCAAATCCAGAACAGAAAGAACCTTTTACACTTTTGTTTTCTATTATAACTTAGAGATGGAATTGGGAGAACGTTGTGAATGATTAACGTGAAAATATCCACCACCACCTCTAGGTTATAATAGAATGTTTTTAGGAAAGATAAACATCTTCTATATATGAGCAGGATGTTTCAGCTTATATAGAGACGCCATTTTTCTGCTTTTTTTTACTGCAAAGTTTGCAGTATGAGGGTCCTTACTTTTCCTTAGCTTTGGAGTTATACAGAACTTGTAATCTTGGACAGAAAATCCACATGTAGAACTACTGATGCTTTGTATGATTTTTTTTTTTTTGTTATGAATTATATTTGAGTTCTGATACTTCACAACTTGTTTTCCATTTTCTGTACAATTATTGATATGGATCTAAAGGGAGGAAATATTTTTTTTCCATTTTCCGCCTGCTGTTCTTGATTGCTAACTAGCTACTGCTTTTTCTAAGTCATGTCACTTTTTTTGAGTTTCGGTAACTTTTTATAGTGTTTGTCACTATTTTCTATTACTTTTTAAACTTTTTGGTCACTTTTTTTACTAACAAAATCATTTTTTTATAAAAGTGAGATGGTGTCACACTCTCACTTACTTAATTTTATGCATTACTATTTAGGGATGTCAAAATTGCTCATCAATTTTATAAAAGTGACATTGTTTCACTTTTTAAAATTTTTTCACATTTTTTAAGTTTTTCACTTTTTAAGAAGATAAAAAAAATGAAATAATATGTTATATTTTTCTAACATAATCAGCATGTGGATTGGTTTGGACGTGCTGATTATTTTAAGAACATGATTACTGGTGTTGCACAAATGGATGATGCTATTTTGGTATTTGTCACTTTTTTTTTGAATTTGTGTCACTTTTTTGAGTTTGTATCACTTTTTGAGGGTGTCACTTTTTTTTAGTTTTGTCACTTTTTAAAAAAAAAATGACAATTTTTATATAAAAAAGTGACATTGTGTCACTTTTTCATTTTACACAATATTTTTTTATTTCTTAAAAATCTTTCATATGATTTTTCAAAACATCCCTAATTTTGAGAGTATTTTTATAAGTATCCCAAGATAAAATTAAGTAGAGGCCCAAATACAAGACGCCTCTCGAAAGTTAGGTTACGTGCACAAGGTTGTGATTGGATTTGTCACTACCTAATGCCTGGACCAGAACCAAGGTGAGCCAATTCTGACTTGTAACAGGGCCCCAACAATAAGCTCATTATAAACAATTACAATTTGATTTTAAAAAGTAAGGCAAAATAATAGTATATAACAGTCAATGTAAGAATTATTATTCTATGTTTTTGTACTGCATTAAACATGTCAAAGAAAGCCTTACTTTATCCATTACCTTTACTTCTCTATCAAACAACGGCTCCTTTCTTCTCTGTCTTTTGGATAGAGAAAAGTTGTCCCCTTGTGCATAATCATTGCACATCCCTGCTTACCTTGAGACGTGCGATTCAATATTCAGTTGGCTGGAACATCCAACCAACGGTGGTTGTGAAGAAGAATTGGTGAAAAAAGGCAAATGTGAATCACCAAAGAACCATGACCCATTTACGTATAGTTTGATTTTACTCAAAACTGGTATAGGCAACCCATATAGATTATGAAGAATTAATCATCCTGTCAGAAGGGTTGAACTAAAAATATACAAAGCATGTGCAGAGTATGTATATAAGCGTTGAAGTAATCATCCTGTCAGAATTGTTGTATTTGTAGTTAAGGAAGGTAATTGACAAAGATATTGCTTTCAAAAGTTGATCAATGGACTAGCAATTTGGCTACCCCTAGTCACACTATGTACGAAAGTCTCAAATGTTATCTCAATTCCTCATATTAATACCATGTATCAGTTGTCTATATTACCGTATCAAAAGGTAGCTAAACATATAATCTTGAACTACTCTTGCAATATGAGTATATATCTTCACATTTTTTTCTTACTTACAAGCTATAACTAAGTAATTATCCAGTATTCATATGTAAATCATGCATGCTAATAGCAACACCGATTATTAAATGATATATTCATCCAAATTTACCAAATTAAGCCCAACCGGGTTTGTAAACTGTCCAGTGCTGATGAACCAACTAACGCGGTGCGGGTGCCATCGCCATGAGCCGCTCCTGCTCTGTGAGTGCGTGGCGGAAATGGCAGCGGTGGCCATAGGGACAGATGTCTCCCGCAAGAACCATACGGCAAACCTCAGTCTTGTAGCGAGGGTGCCTTATCACTGGACGCAGCTCCTTGATTCCATGCGCGAACTGGCAATTGTCCCCGTAAGGACATGCACCTGTCTCCTGCCACTTATTGCACAGCTCTGTTTTGAACATTCCCTGGTTGTACACTTCAAATTCCAGTGCTTCCTCTTCCCTTTTACTCCCTGGTACGAACACTCGTTGCTGTTTACCAACAACATTAACAAAACCCAACAGAAAGGCAAATAACAAGTTAGGTACCAAACAAGGACGAGACAGGATTTGTCAACAATATAATATGGCAGAATTAGAGAGAATGTTAATATTGATTGTATAGAGAATAATCAAACTAAACTCTTACTTCAAATAGAAATGTTAAGAATGAAATTAAGTGTGAGATTATCAACCGAACTCTTAATTCAAATGTATGATTTCAGATTATTAAGTAGTTGCTACAATTAGACATGATCAATTTCCCCTTCACATTATAATCAAATTTACAGACTTTCCTCTATGTTATTGGTTGAGTTACTGAGGCAAACTTTGAAAGAATAGAACAGATCAATCAATCAATAGAATGAAACAAAATAATGGAAACCTCGGGCCATAGATCGAGCATTCAGAAAATATTAGTATTAACAGTTCTAAGAGAAATCAGATTATGACGTCACTACACAGTGAAAGGCTATTCACGTTGAAATGGTACATTAGAGATCGAGCTGACTCACCGATGCAAGACCAGGTTCACCAGCTACTTGTTGGCGAGTCACATCTTGATCCGGTCGAGTCTTCAGATAGCCTCTGGAACGCACCGAGATACTCTTCGGAATTGTGACTCGTTCCGGAGTCCTTTGCGTGCCATTCTCCTCTATAAGAGGTTGAGAAGAGGTCACGTGAGTGGCGTATGTAGGAAAGGAGACGGTGGAGGAAGGGACGATGTTGAGGCGGTTGAAATCAGAGAGAAGGCAATTCTGGTTGACAAGGAGGGTGAGACGGCGGGTGAGATCAGCGTTGGACAGGCGGAGAGAGTTGTTCTCGCAGCGGAGGGAATCAACTTCATTGATATACTCGTGGAGGCGAGCAAGGCAGACGGTGTGGCGATTATAGAGCTGCTGATATTCGAGGATGCGGCTAGCCTCGTGGAGGCTCTGTTCGGTGGCGGAAATATCACCGCCGTCAAACGAGGCGGTTTCAGAGGGAGAATTTGGTGAGTAGTTCTGCGGGAAAAGCGAGGAATAGCGGTAGGGATTGGGGTTCAGGTAAGTCGGAGACGTAGGAGATAAAAATGGATTGGTGCTGGTGAAGCGTTGAGGTGACACGGCGGCGGTGGAGCTGCTGGTGAGAGCTTCACTCGAAGAATTATTCTCCTGCATTACACTAAAATTAACAGAAAACGCCAATGAATTATGAAATTTGACTGGAAAACACATTAACAGAATTCAATTCAATTAAGTCGTTGATTTATTGCCTCAATCACCTGAAGCTGGGGGAGTTTACAACTCCATTAATTTCCATTGAAAGAGGGAGGTAAGGATTTGTGAGTTGGAACTTGGAATAATAGGCGGGGAATTATAAAGGGTAAGAAATAATTATCAGGTCCATCTCGGTCTACAGTAGATAAATGTTTATAGAAAACTAGTAACCGTTCGATCTTTCAGAAACATACGGTCGAGTTGCTTGGATTATAAGCATTTCAAATTTTTGGCGGGGAAATTTATTAAAAAATAAAAATCCAATCTAAAACCGTTATGAGAGAACACCTACCTACTGTGCCAACCATGCGGTTAGTTAAAGTTGTTTTGTCCCTCAAGTTGTTGGTGATCATAAAAAGTCAATGGTGTTTTGGTATGACAATAATTTAACTTGAAAAACATTCTCAACAAAGGTCAAGGAAATAGAGAATTGTAGTTCTTTCTTGCGATAAGAAAATGATAAATAAAATTAAATTTCGAATCGAACGTGAAATTTAACTTGAAAATACAAACTCGTCACTCGTGTTTGTATTTCGAGGTACGTAGGTCGAGAAAAATAAAGTGTAAGATGATGGGGTGAATTCATTAAGGTTTGGAGAAGTTAGTTATGAAACTAAAATAACGTGGAATGCAAGAATGGTGAGGTGAAGAGAGGTAGTGTAGAGCTGAAGTTTATTTTAGCTTAGGTGAATTAAGAAATCCCTTTGTAATTATTATAAGCAAAACCCTCCAATCATATAATTTTTAATATATATAAAGTTGTCTTATCACAAATTTAACTAATCCGTGTTGCCTTTTTTTTTTTTGGCAATATGGTTATCAATTTAATATTAATGATTTGATAGTAGGTCTCTAGCAAGAAATTTTTTGAAAAATGCTAGATGTACATCAAAAAGTGTACATCAAGGTCTACATCCCCTCACATGGAGGGGTCAACTTGAATAAAATATTCGAGTGGGCCCCTTACCCATGTGAGTCCGTGATGTACACCCCGATGTACCACTAGTATGGCATTATGGCTCAAATTTTTTTAGTATTTTTATGAGTATGAAACTCAATACTCCATGTCATTATTCAGTCTACACATGCCAATTATAGGACGGTCTTCATTGAGCGCGAGCTTTATGATTTCGACCTTTGATACCATCGTTCCATTCGCATATTAATGACCCATTTACAATAAATTGATATCTGACATGGCAGAAATTCATCCGAAGATGGAAGAACCAATCTTTTACAAGGAACATACATGGAGTTATGAGTAGATGCATATTTTTACACGTATTTCTACCAAAACTAGAAAGCGCAGAGAAATTCTACAAGAGAGTCTAAAAAACTACCTCCTTCCAAATTCTAAATCTTCAACTGGTAAGCTACGACAACCAGATAACGATATCCCCACAACAGCGTTGTTGTTTCTTTCATTTTGTTGGATTTCAACCATGGCCTCAGAGGTCTGTACATTGTTTACATTCGAGTTCAACTCCTCCAATATCTGGAAATACGCATACGTCCCCCAACCTACCAGGAAAGAATGCACAGGCTCTCAGGGAATAACTATTGCAATGTTAACTGAAAGCGAACAATCGTTCGCACTAATCACGAGCTTTTATCAAGCAATATAGTTGCAAAAAACAGTCGAGTAGTGCAAGTAAAAGCAGTAGAAGATACCATCAAATGATACGGAGGTGGGAAGAACTGCAAATAGCAAAATGTGGCTACCACTAGACCTGCAAAGAATACTTCCATTAAACCTATTAAATTGTGAACCAATGTTACTAGCTTTCAACTGATAAAAACAACAAAATTTGGAATGTAATGTAATAGACAAACCTAGTAGACCTCCAGCGAATACGTCCTGCCAGTGATGCCAATAATCATCCACTCGAGAAATGCCAACAAGAGATGCAACAAGTAGAGGAAGCAAAACTAAACAGAGTTTTGCAACATGACCTTTCCTGTCAAATACCTTTAGCTTCCCAGATAGATATAGTGATAAGAAGCCCAGACCCGCAAAAGACCCTGCTTGTTCAATTCAAGTCCCGTCATAGAAAAATTAGAGTAATTAGTGTAGATGCCCATTCATTAACAAGCTTGGAACGAATGGCTATGATAAGTTATCCTGATCGTTTGATTACTGAGCGATCTGAGATTACATAACTATATGAGGAAGGAGTATGAAAGGAAAAACTGGGAAGGATCGTTTGGAGCAAGGAAGATTAAATGAGATATGTTAAAAATTACAATTGCCTATGAAAAGGGAGGAACGGGTGAAAAGCTAGAGGATGCTTCAGGAAACATTTTTTACCAAAAAATGTAGGGATGACATGGTAAAGCAGAGAACAGCAGTAAACGAGAGTTGAGATGTTGCTTTTGGCAAGAGCAGTCGATCTACTAAAGGCGAAATAATAGCAGAGGCATTTCATCAGCGCAAGCTTATCTGTAGGTTGTATGAACCATTTTCCAAAGGGTTTTAACATCGATGCAAATATTGAGACTATCCACTTTCTCCATCGAATACCCCAAAACTATCACAAGTAGTTTAATCTTATTGAAAATATTAACATGCTGATAATAGACACTTCCTGCTTACATGCAGTATGCCCACTAGGAAAACTCTTATGCCCTTCCCTTATGACACTTTTGTCACCATGGCAAACAACATTTCCCCATTGATCATAAGCCTGAAAAACAATCAATTTAATTAGGCAAAACACAGTCTAATGAAAATGATCTAGCAATACTAACTTCAAGGTTTTGAATGATCAGGTCAAACATCACTTACATCCTTTCCATCAGGAAAACATCGCCAGAAGAAGTCTGGCCGAGGGCGACCAACTGCATCCTTAATTGCATCAGTAAGAACCCCCGTTATAAAGATAGAGAATAGAATCCCTGCTCATAAAAATCCGCTTCATAGTATGAGAATGTCAACATCATCTACTATGATTTTGTTAATTGATACAGATCCTAATAAAAAATTGGATCCTGATAAAAAAAAAATTACAATGTAAAACACATTATTTACCTAATATGGCATGATGAAGATCGTAGACATCTCTTCGGCGAACATAGAAGAGTAGGAAAACTGCTACTGGCAACAGCGCTGCATATATCTAAGGAGTTTCTAAGAAAATCAATACATGGCATCCCATCAATGACTTTACTAAGCCCCTGGCCATTATTGTGTCAAAATGATGTTTTGAATAGTGTGATTTTTTTAGAGAATGTGTTGTTAAAAAGTGGGGAAAAGTTTTGGGTTTATGTGCAAAATATTTAATTATGTGAATGTGTGGTTGAAAATGAGTATGAAAAATAAATTGTTTTGTTTTAAAGGGAGTCAAACAGGGGCTAAAGAAGAAATAAGTCAAGTTCAGCAATCAAGCTATCAACTTACTGGCACAAGCCATACAGGTACTGTGTTACTCTTAAGGGGATACTTGAGATCAGACATCATATCTTTCCCAACAAAGCGATAAAATGGATGGATTATGTTCAGAATGACTAAGATCACCCCAAGTAGTATCAGTATCAACCAGTCATGCATGTGTGTCCTCACTACTGTGACCCCATGAGACCTCACAGTGTGTGCCCCAAGCTCGGCTTCCTTCATTCCCTTCTGCAGAACATAAATGAAATACATGCCATGACGAGACTTAAAAAAAATTAGAACGTCCGGTTGCTGTACGAGAAAATGCATCATATAGCAAGTGCAGAAGAGAGCCGATATAGTTGTTTTTTTTACTGTAGATAGAATTATGATCCATAAATGATGAGCTTGACAAATTGTCATAGGAGATCTTCCAAAGTATCATAATACGAAATAGAGTTACAACTTAACACTGACTCTTTGGTCTACAACTAAATTTTAAGACTCATTTATTGACTTGACAAATTAGGAACTGGAGTTTGTTGTTTTCCATTTGAGGATTTTTGACAGGCACATCAATTAAAGTTGAAAGAAACGTGAAGAGTCTGATCTTTATATGGTAGATTGAATAAATGAAGGCAGCTGCACAATGCCTTTTGGTTTGAAAAGGACAAACAAACAGGAGGGTTCCTTAAGGGAAATAATAATATTCTAGTTATAATGAAAGATAGATAGCAGTCCTACCCCAACTCTTCTCGCTCCTATGTCATTCTTATGAGGTTCTTCATTCATACACACCATCATTCTTGACTTTATCATTTTTACCAGTTATAATCCAATCTTATGAAATGTTTTTGTTGAATCTATAAAGAGAATATATATGCTAAATGATTGTTTACAAAAAATCTTCATATTCTTTCTCATGTCCATTTTGGAAGTTAATAAGAAGCTCCGCAATTGCAATACAAGATTGAAAACCGAGAATGAACAATTATTCATGCATCAGTGGAGGTAAAATCACTACATAGAGAACACAATAGATTTTTTTGACTAACTAGTTTAAGGTACTACAGATTATTTTAATAAGCACGAGCAATCATTTATGACAACAACCCTTGCATCTAAATGTAAGAGATGCACATTCTTAATAAATATTCCCATCGACTCTATATACCTGGTGGTTCTTGAATTTTATCAATGGAAATTGGAGCTCAGGAAATGAATCATTAGTGACTTCAGATGTTTCCAGCCCCTGAATTGACAAAAAGAAAATCAACCCCCAATATGATTCTTCACAATCGAAAAAGATAGATCCAACTTAGTTATAAAGAAGAAATAAAAGGAAATGCGTGTAATGCTAACTTTGTTCAACTTCAAGGGGAACATTTTCTGTATTAGCACTTCGTGATCATTAAGCAGAAACATCATTTACTGGTCATAGTATGGTGAAAATACACAATACATACAAGTTGAACCTTAAGAAAACCAGCCAATAATGTACATCTTCCCCAAGCATCTTACACTTTTGACTTTACAGTACATATAAAAGCAATCATGTGCCTACAGTTCAGATCATAACTTAGAATAGTACGATAACTCCAATAAAAGTTTTCCTGGAGAATTATTCGTAGAACAGATTATTCTTGTGCAATCTCCAACTTCCGAGGGCCTAACACCGATTTATACACACTAAACAGGGCATGAGGCCATTGACCAGTCTTCTTAACTCTATTAAACAAACCCCACCACAATTTAGAGAAATTTGAGAAAATAAATATTTCCTGGACATATTCATTAAAGAATGGCTGCAGTAGTACCAATATCAATCACAATCTTGCCATAAAACAGTCATCCGAAAAGAATCATAGACTTCATTGCAATCAAAAGTGAATCATACAAGAAATGATTCACATCAATCACAAAAATCGTGGACAGAAAATGTAAATCGTGACCATCCTAAAAAAGAACTCAGAAACAATCGAAACTGCTCACAATATCCATAAGCTCAGAAAATAAAAACTATGCCAGGGCACACAATATGCAGAAGTACTACAGCATGAAAAGTTGCCTAGGACTGAGATAAACCATTGAAAATCTTAAAACGAAAGGTGGATCTGAAATTCCACCAGGGCAATTCAATTATGGACTAATAAGAAGATTCCTGGTAATAGTTTGTGGCTGGTAATAGTTTGGGTCCATATGGTGTACAACAGATCGAATCTTATCGTCGGAGCAAATAAAAAAGAATTATGCTATTTGTACAATGTTTTTGTACAATATTGTTGACAATGTTGGTTGTGGCCAACAAGTATTGGTTGAAATAATGAATTGTTTTTTAAACTGTCAAATGATAACATGCTACGTGGCATGTTGTCAACAATGATGTCAAAATCATTGTACATCAAGCATTGTTCAATAAAAAAAGTTGTACATAACCCTCTGGTTCAAGTATGGACGTGGCAATCATCTACTTATTGATGTGTAAGTGTGAAAGTTGAATTAAAGGCAGCATCACATGTCACGTGTAATTATGTAAACCATTATGTGAATGGTTATGTACTCGTAGCATTATCCATACTTCACATCTACGATTAGATTTCTTCCACGTGGACATATGTAATCTATTATATTCAATAATTATATACATATACATTTATTCCTTTTTTATTAGATAATTCTTCTAGTACATTAGGAGTGTCATAATGATATCCATAACCTAATGTACTTATAGCACTTCACAAAGTAAAAAATTGTAGACTACCAATGCTACACACAATAGGAGTGGGTGCGTGGGTGTGCATTATTTTAATCCCGTGCTCTCCCTTTTTTTCAATAAAAAATGAATGCTAAGTCTCTATTGCTTTAACATGAAGCACCGCCCCAGTAAAATTATAATAGGTTTTTTCTTTTCTTTCTTTTAATGATGTGTTTTTAAATAAAACAATATTACACGTAAATCAAACACTTTTTGTTCTTTTTCAACAACGTTTTTCAAAAAAAAAAATACAATTCCAAAAATTACAATCTCAAATAATAGGTTTCATCCATTTTTTTTAAAATTCTTTTTTTATTAAACTTATTTTCAATCAAATTTACGCTATAAAATATTTTACGTGTAAATTCAAAATTTTTCTGCTTTTCAATCATATATTTTCCTAAAAATCACTATTTCAAAACTCATTTTTCCAAAAAAAAATAATAATAATATATTTTTAATGGCTACCAAACAAGGCTAACTAATAGTAAAGACGTTAAACTTTGAGCTAAAAAAGTGGCATGTTGAAGGTTTTTAACAAAAATCGAAAGATAAAGGGATTGCTATGGCAACAGATAGCGTGAAATGGAGAAGGACCATGCTAGGCGTCTAAGGCTTATGCATAGACCCCCACAAATAAGGAGGGCCACTTGGCAACCCTGGACGTCCTGGGTCCATGTGGCCCTAGATAGCGTGAAATGGAAAAGGACCATGCTAGACATCCAGAGCCCATGCATAGACCTCCACAAATAAGGAGGGCCACTTGGCAACCCTGGACGTCCTTGGTCCATGTGGCCCTAAATAGGTTTAATTCATGAGAGAACGTGTCTGTAAGTGGTGTTGATAAAGAAATTAGCCATGTAAAAATCATGACAATTTGCTTATCATGTCAAATCGGATGAAAAGGACACCATTTTTGTGCTGTAAACGACTGAGCGCAAGGGTTGAAAAAAATGAGAACAAGAATGAAGAATGCTGAGAGATGATAGAAATTGAAAAATAAAAGTAACCAATCGTTTGGACGCCATTTTTTTACGGAAAATGTATTCTTGGATCACATCACATGGCTTACCAATACAATGCAATCCCCAATTTATTAAGATATTTATGCTCAACTCCCACTTACACCCCTGTGTTGACGTTAGTCCATTTGTCGAATATAGGGCAAAATTGGGAAAGAAGAAGAAAAGCTATGTTGTGTGAAGTAATAAGTCATATTTGTGTCAGATGATATTGATTGAAGCAATAACTTTTGGACCTACAACAGTCATATTTTTCCTAAAAATACAAAAATATCACACCCAAACAAGCTCTTATTATACCCGTGTTGACATTAGTGCATTCGTGGAATATAGGGCAAAATTGGGAAAGAAGAAGAAAACCTATGTTGTGTTAAGTAATAAGTCATATTTGCGTCATATTGAAGCAATAACTTTTGGACCTACAACGGTCATATTTTTCCTAAAAATACAAAAAATGTCTCACCCAAATAAGCTCTTATTCAACAGGTAGGAAATAGATAATTATTCCAATAATCACTAAACTTAGATCGGTGTCTTCAATTGCTCACTAAAATTTCAAATATTGAGTTTTGACTATTAAACTTATCAAAATATTGGACATTACTAACTGGAATGAATTTCGTTTCATAACTCTAACGAAATAGTTGACCTAACAGATGGAATGCACAGTTGGCACCCCTAACGGTTGGACATTACTCACTGAACTTATCAAAACGTTAGACATTACTTACTTGAATGAATTCTGTTTTACAACTCTAACGAAATAGTTGAGCTAACAAATGGAATGCACAGTTGAAACCCCAACACCGGTATCTGGCCAAACATGGAAGAAATATGTCTTTGATCGTTCACTATATTTCGATCGACATCTTTGACTACTCACTATACTTTAAGTTACATTTTAGGAACAGGCACTTTTACGAGAATATGATTAGAATGACTTGAATAACTCGGCATTATCTTTTTGAAATAGAATGAATAATTTGTAGTATTTGTTAGAGTATAGTTACCCGAATTCTGTTTGGGTTGATCCTGAAAAAATTTCGGTGCGACATATGTGATGAAACTAAAATTATGAAGAAAAAAGGGTCTATGGTTGTAATGGATGGATCTGTCCAATCACATTCTGCCCTCTATTTTCTATTACAACAATTTGGTGTATGGACCTGTTTTACCATGTATGATGTATATTAGTATTTCATCATATTATATCATTCGGAGTAGTCGTACCTCTTATAGTTATCGTTAATATGGTAAATTTTCTTATCCTCTACCATGTGGTTTTTTCTCTTCTTGAATTTCCACATAAATCATGTATTCTTGTTATTATTTTTTATATTGTCTATCCTCATTTTACGTAACAAATTGGTATCAGGGTGATGTTTGATTTTCAGCGATGGCAACTATGAAATATGATATTCCGCTTATAGATCGAAACATCAGATTTTTGCAATGACAAGTCAAGATGTGGGTTGTACTCGCATGATGGACTTGGATGATGTGCTATTAGGATTTGATAATGCTTTCATCTTGGACTCGTGAGGGAAAATAACGTTAAGATCGAAAGTCTATATCTCAAATTTATCTTAATCTATCTAACTACCGTGAAATATGTTAATTTACGATTTTAATAATTTCTATATTTTGATTCGTTCAAGTAGAGTATAGCATAATGCTCTTTATGTGGATCACCTGTGTGGTTGAGAAAAGGGCGCTTACAAGAGAGTTATGTAAAGATAAATTCTCTAAAAAAAACTCATGAACCAGAGGTGTCCAAGGCTAAAATATACACAAAAGTGAGAACCAATTGTGTTCGAAGGGAACCGTGACTTCTATTGTATAGGTTTACATGAACAACTGACCGTTCAAACACATTGCTGCTGATTGGCTAAATAAATCCGATATATTTTACTAGGAAAAGTTCAAAGTCTTGACTACTTATCCCGATACAATTTTCTTCATTTATACTTCAAAAAACATATTATATGTTGTTTGGAACCGACCGATATATCTCATTCATATGGAGGATTTAGGGGTGGAAACCTAGCCGCTTTTTGACGAGCTCGAGCACGACCCGAGCAGGTCGGCTCGCTAGGTGAGCAGCTCATCGAGCTGCCCACGAGCCTGGCTCGGCTCGGCTCGTGGCTAGCAAAAAATAAAATAAAATAGTGACCAAACGGTCACTGAAAATTCACTTACAGAAAAAGTGAATTTTCAGTTACCGTTTGGTCACTAAAGTTATTAATTTTTTTTCTCAATTTCATTTTTCCCTATAAATACTCATCTATTCATCCATTTTTTTCACCAAACTTATTATTAATCTCTCATTCTCTACTCTACTCTCTACATTTTAATATCATTCTAAACTCTTCTACATTTTATTTTTAATCGATTTTCTACACTACTACATAATCTATATACACTTCTCTATTTTACTTCAACATTCAATTTCAATTATTCAATATCAATTATCTCATTACAAATTTTCAATCACAAATGGATCCACACTCATTTGTTGAAAACTTATTCGGTGTCGGAGATGAATCACCATCACACCCTACAGCCAATTTTGGAATGAATTCTTCGGATTAAATGAATTACCCATTCCAGAAAATATTCAGGATTTTGATGCTCATACTAGTCATCCA